CTCTGTGTTTGGACCAAACCGAGGATGCATAAGTGTCTTATTTCTGATAGGGTAGGATTTGACCTCACCTGTGAACACCTCCTACGCTCTATGCCGTCTCTAGATGACTTGAAATACTGAGCAAGTGTTCATCCTCTCCGAATCCATCCCCATGTGATATTGGTTAGGGGATAATAAGAAGAAAAATCAGTTGGTACATGTTATTGAGTACATAGTGCTTTTCAGAGCACTTTTGATCTGTGTCTGGTTAGACCCGTGGATACAGAGCTTGTGGAGTGGAAGGGCTGACAGCACACACAAATGCCTTTCTTTTTCTTTGTTTATTGCAGATGCCTGCCTAATGCTTCAGGCTCATCCTACTGAGTTGAATTAATGAGTTGTCATGTCTCCAAGCCTACCACATGTCCTCACAAAGTAAATGGACAGCTTCCAGCCAAGTATCCCTCCTCTGAGAGACCCCATCCCGCTGGGCACTGGGGCAACTTGAGGATGGCATGGGTGCAGTTTTAGTGCAATTACCTGTCTCTAACCCACGTAGATCCTGAGCTCTTAGAGAGACGACACCTGTAGATGGCTAACAATAGGCACACGATGAGCACAGGTGTGCATCTGTGTGCAATTTTACTTTCCCTCTCAGATGGGAGCTACAGAGCACTAAGCTTATGTGGAAAACCAAAACCCGAGACATAAATCCCAACTCAGGAACAGATGACAAGAATATCATACCACAACTGTCCCTCGCATTCTCTACATCCTTAGCAGCCATGCTTTATTGAAAATGAGAGTTGTAAAGACGATATGTGGTTTCTCATTGAAAGCATGGTTCTTCCCTAGGAGGTGTGAGCTCTGTCATTATCTCTGTGTGTGGCAGGTGCTTCCCCAGGAGGTGAGCACTGCTATTATCTCTGTGTGCAGTAGGTGCTTCCCCAGGAGGTGAGCTCTGCTATTATCTCTGTGTGCAGTAGGTGCTTCCCCAGGAGGTGAGCACTGCTATTATCTCTGTGTGCAGTAGGTGCTTCCCCAGGAGGTGAGCTCTGCTATTATCTCTGTGTGCAGTAGGTGCTTCCCCAGGAGGTGAGCACTGTTATTATCTCTGTGTGCAGTAGGTGCTTCCCCAGGAGGTGAGCTCTGCTATTATCTCTGTGTGCGGCAGGTGCTTCCCCAGGAGGTGAGCACCTCTATCATCTCTGTGTGTGGTAGGTGCTTCTCTAGGAGGTGAGCACTGTTATTATCTCAGTGCAGTAAGTGCTTTCCCAGGAGGTGAGCACCGCTATTATCCCTGTGTGTGGCAGGAGCTTCCCTAGGAGGTGAGCACCCGTGCATTAAATGCTTCCCCAGGAGGTGAGCACCGCTATTATCTCTGTGTGTGGTAGGTGCTTCCCTAGGAAGTGAGCACTGTTATTATCTCTGTGTGCAGTAGGTGCTTCCCCAGGAGGTGAGCACCTCTATCATCTCTGTGTGTGGTAGGTGCTTCCCTAGGAGGTGAGCACCTCTATCATCTCTGTGTGTGGTAGGTGCTTCCCTAGGAAGTGAGCACTGTTATTATCTCTGTGTGCAGTAGGTGCTTCCCCAGGAGGTGAGCACCGCTATTATCTCTGTGTGTGGTAGGTGCTTCCCTAGGAAGTGAGCACTGTTATTATCTCTGTGTGCAGTAGGTGCTTCCCCAGGAGGTGAGCACCTCTATCATCTCTGTGTGTGGTAGGTGCTTCCCTAGGAGGTGAGCACCTCTATCATCTCTGTGTGTGGTAGGTGCTTCCCTAGGAAGTGAGCACTGTTATTATCTCTGTGTGCAGTAGGTGCTTCCCCAGGAGGTGAGCACCTCTATCATCTCTGTGTGTGGTAGGTGCTTCCCTAGGAGGTGAGCACCTCTATCATCTCTGTGTGTGGTAGGTGCTTCCCTAGGAGGTGAGCACTGTTATTATTGCTCTGTGCAGTAGGTGCTTCCCCAGGAGGTGAGCTCTGCTATTATCTCTGTGTGTAGTAGGTGCTTTCCCAGGAGGTGAGCTCTCTCATTATCTCTGTGTTACAGAAGAGGAAACCAAGGGCAAGTGGTATTATTGATCAAACTATGGCAGAATGAACCCACCTTGGACTTAATACTAGGCTGACTGCAGGGATCACACCCCTAAATGTGACTGTTACCATAGTTATTTTGGAGGGCTGTCTAAATACAACCCATTGTCTATTTTAATGATTCTGCATGTGTAGGGAAACCTGCATCTTGATGCATTATGTGTGGACTCTTTTCTATGTCTGTTTTCCAAGCAGTACACTATGGGAAGCATTTACATAGCACTGACAGTGAATGATCATATAAAGTATGCATAATATTGCATATGTAAATGACATAGGCAAATACTATGTCATTTCATAGAAGAGACTTGAATGTCAGTGGCTCTGTGAATTCTTTAGATTTAGAACTAACCCTCCTTGGATACAGATGGATGGTTGCACATATATAAATGTAGTGAAGAAATCTGTGACAAAACTCAAAATGCCTGCTTTCTAACTGTCCAAAATGAGATTGATTTAATACATCATCCATTACTATGGAGGCCCCAAAATGTGAGCCTATTTCCACCTTGTCTGAAGGCCAGAGATTCAGCTTGCTCAAAGTTGTTGCCATTCCTCCCCGACCAAAGGTCAGAGAGTTGGAACTTCTATTCCTTCAAGGTTATTGTGTTTCTACCTCAAAGGTCCCACCTAGATTTAGATCAGAGAGTTCTGCTTGATCAAGGTTATTGTCAACAGACGTGGCTAACGTCCAGACTTTGTATTTCAGGAAGAAAAGTGGATCTAGTTCTACCCCAAACAATAGTCAAAGGATCCAACTAAGTCCCCGCTCCCCTAAGGAGATAACAATGGATTCCACCCCAGGAGTGGTTTGCCTACAGAATGTTTTGGTCTAGGGTTTGAGTATGATTTGTCTGGTTCTGGCAACAGAATATTTAACTAAGAGCGTAGGCTGCAACCTTCAACTGGTCTGTTCATTTCCTTGTATCATGGTAATGCAGTTTTTTTAAATCTTATTCCTACCCTTTGGGGTCGGGGTATTTTAAGAAAGTGGACATTAAACACGGGTGGATTTCAGTATTCACTGGTGCTATCCCATGTTTCTGTTTTATTATTTTCACTCACATCTTCGTTCTCTTTACTCTTTTTCTAATCCCTGTGCCCCTACCCTGGTAAGTGGTACCCTTGTTGAAGCTGGTCTCCGATATGTTACAGAAAGGATGAGGGGAAAGGATATTAATCTCTGCATATCTATGGTTGATACAGCTTTATGGTATGCTGCCGTGTGCCAAGGTGAACCCTCACTCCTGAAGTTGTTTTATCAGAGCACCAACCAAGGCAACTAACCCGAGACCCCCATTTTGTTCTTGTCTATTCTTTTTACTTTTCACCCCCCTGCCGTTTGAGAAATAGTAAATTTAGTGTCGATGGAAACAGGCAACACGTTATATGTATCGTCCCACATACCATCCCCCAACCCAGAAGTGCCACTGCTGTGGAAGGAACGCTCTCCAAAAGTGGCCCCTGGACCAGGTGAGCTTGGGAGACAGCACACTGTCCTCCTCCATCCTGCATGCATCCAGGGCACCAAGTGTCCCCTAGGACACGAGCTCGGAAATTCAGTCTATCTTTCTTGGGAAGGCCTTGCGCTTTCTTCTCAGGCCACAGGACTTCTAGGGGAAACTGTTCCGGGACATTTCACAAACAGGAAGCTTCCTGTTCATCACCATCACCGAGGCTTATTCTGAGAGCAGATAAACGCGTGGGACGTGATGTCAGTATGAAAAAGTACCCTGCCTGAGAAAGGTCTATGAGAAGCCGATAACCGGATACTTAGAACAACAAGGCCACCACAAAGCCCCACCCATCCATCCCACCTGGGGGGCTGAACATGCACTTGAACTTCAGAAGGGATCTGTTACTTTATTTTGTCATCACTGGTAACCCAGAGGATGGCTCAAATGGATTGTAAGGCCTTAAGATTGGACTGGGAATTGCCCTATATAAAGAACTGCTCAGGTCCAGGTCAAGGCGGGTGGTCTTTGTCATGATTTTGGAAGTTCGACAAACTGCGTGCACTTAGCGAGGATTAAAGCACCAGATTTGGGTAAAACGAAAATCCTTTGGAGCATACTCAAGAACTGCAAGCCCGTGAGTGTCCACGCTAAGCCAGACATCTGGATGAAGGATAAATGCTACAGCGGTTTGCCACACGTCCTCTGAATTCATCAAGACATGATCCGAAAACTAAACAGCTGCGGTTCGATTTTTCTCCCCTGCCCCTCCTGAATATTATGGAGGTGAACAAATTTATCATGCCTAATACTTAGAAATGGTACCTAGAGCAACCTGCAGAGCTAACAAAGGGACAGGAGGCGGGAGATCTTGCTGTATTTTTGGGACTAGAAGAAGGAAGGGATTTCTCTAATCTGAAAACTGGAAGTTGAGAGTTGAGTCTCAACAGTTGAGGTATAAGGAAAAATACAGAGTTCTAACTTGAACGAGAGACTGAAAACACAGGAAACTCAAGAAAGCCCAGCCTGTTAAAATACTTCTTATTTGGCTTTCTGGGTGATCGCCTTGAAAAATCCCATTTGAAGATCTAATCTCTAGGGGCTCCAGGGTGTTATGGGATTGGGAGACAGAGCTTTTAGGAAGATGGCTGAGTTAAAATAGGTCATTAGTGTGGGCTCTCATCTAGTCTAACTGGCGCCCTCAAAAGAGAGAATTTGTAGGCAGGCATCTCTGTGGATGGAAGAACACAGAGAGGACTTCACGAGAAGACTGACTGTTCACACACTGGAGGGGAGAGAACTTAGAAGAAACCATGCTTACTGTAACCTTGGTCCCGCACTACAGCTGCCAGAAACACAGGCAATCAATTCCTATTGGTTAAACTATGGAGTCTGTGGTGTTTTGTCACAGCGGCACGAGCAAACCAGTGCATACATCTATGGAGCATGTATCCAGAGCAGGCGGGGACTCACCACATCGAAGGCAGTAAACACGTGGCAGTAGTGGTGGTTGGACTTCAAATCTTTCGTGATATAAGCGAACGTTGAGAGGTCTTCTGGGTCCTGGGCGGCGCAGGAGATATTACGAATTTCATGCTCAGCAATTATGTTCTAGAAGAAACGACACAAACCATCACCGTTTTCCTTGGAGAAACTGCATGCTTTAGAATCAGCACGGTAATTCTGGGAACCCAGATGCTTTTCTTTTTCTCTAGGATGTTCTAGGCCAGCAGTATTCAGAGTGATTCAGTGTGTCCATCCATGGGCAGATGTACACCAGGTCTGGAAGGAATGTTTGCATTTAATAATAATAATAATAATAACAACAACAACAATAATAGTAGTAATAATAATGATAATAGTAATAATAATAATCCTAAAATCATCATATCCTGGATGAGCCCTTGCCAGACACTGTGTACTGAAGCAGTCTGGGGGACAGACAATTAGAAAATGAAACAAAACAGTAATTGCTAAACATGTCGCCATATCTCTTCCCCACATCCTGCTGTAGACAGGCAATCTTGCCTACTGCCAACGGAAGCGGTCATCTGCCACTTGCATGTGTGAGGGGAGCTGTGGGTGCAGGAGGCTGTCCAAATCCTTCACGGCTGTGTGTGTCCTCTGTTCCTCCCCACCCCTTCCTTCTTAGGCGCTGGGACGGAACCCGGGACCTGGATCATGTTGGAGACGTGCTCTACCTTTGGTTCTATGCCAACCTCTCCACTCCCAAAGCAAGGGCCCGGTCAGAACAAAGCAGGTGGGGAAGCCCCAGAGTGTGCTCTCTGTCTTTCTGTCTCTCTCTGTGCAAGGTTTTCAGAAGGCTGAGAGTGCATGGCCAAGGGAAACACTACAGTGTGATAGTCAGGCTGCGGTGCCTTGCTGGATGCAAGGACCTATGAATAGGATAGCTCTGTGCTCACTAGACCCACCACAGAATAGTGGTGTATGCGTGCATGTGTGTGTACGTGTGTGCATGTGTGTACGTGTGTGTGTGTGGCTGTCACTTTCTTACAGGTGAGGAAACTGGGCCTTCAGGGCCTCACGCAGGGCAGGTGTGAGGTCTGGGTTTTTGGGGGTGCTGACCCTCTTGAGGACACTGCCACGTTTTACATCCCCCCTCCTCGCCTCTGGGAATAACTGGTGGGAGGAACGGGTCAGTACCATTGTCCTGAAGCACAGATAGCCAGAGAGCAACATCTTTGCTGCAAAACCTGCTGGGAGCTTCTCTTGATACACAGATGTATTTAAAAAGCCCTACAATGGTACAATCCTTTTTATCTTACAATTTCTCATGTCTTTTGCAGTTGTCATAGATATAAAAACCCCAATGCTTCAGTTACCCTAATTACTTTTTAATTGCGTATTTTAAAGAACCCGTTGGCAATACAATGTTCCACGTCTACTCATCAATGCTGAAAAACACTGACAAAATGTCCTTCCCTGCCAGCGCCCTCCGCGAGTACTTCATGTCCCTCACTCTACCAAGCTCTGTGGTTGGGAAGCAATTACAGAATTAACACATAAGAGAAAATTAAATTAAGACATTCTTCACTGTGGCCTTGAATGCTGACACTGTGTGCAGCTGCTCTGTCAAAAAAATAACTCAAATTGAAACTGGAAACAACAAACAAGCAACATTGTACCGCTAGATAGCTTTGACATAGGAAGCCAGGGTCCTCTTCCTGCACTCAGGTACCGAATCAGGAACCCATGGGTCTTTAGAAGGAATTTTAAGGTCTTTGTAGTCTTTGAAGGTACCACAGAGAGTCTTGGCCCTCACTGGATTGCTGCTGGACTTCAAAAGTCTGGACTCAGCATTGGCTTCAGCTGCCGTGGTGGGGACTGCTGTCAGCTGGACAAAAGCTACCTTCATGTGGGAGAAGGGTTTCTGGGCCTGCTCGAGGGGGGCTATCTTATGTCATCGAGGTGGGGAGGCCTGGCCACTGCGGGGAGCACCATTTTATGGGCCCACTTCTAGACTGACTGAGAAGCAGAGAGACAGCTGAATGAAACAGTTGCTTCTCTCTGCTTTTCCACTGTGGATGCTATGTGATCAGCGCGCTTAGCCCCTGCCTGCTGTGGCATCTCTGCGACCATGGGTGATGATACCTGAGCTGTGAGCCAGGGCAAACCCTCCATCCCTTCAGTCTTTTCCCATCATGTATTTTGTCATAGCCATGTGTAAAGTAACCCAAATACCTGCCCAGGAGCTACATCGAGCTGGCGAGTACCGGCTCCAGCTTTCAGTTGGCATTTGTGTCCTCGAGGACATTGTCAGCGTCGGGGAGATGTTACATTAACGAGTGCCCCGCGAGGGTTGCAGTGCTGCATTTCCCAGCTCGTGACCATTCACTGCGACCATGCTGTGGTCCCCGACAAAACTATGAAGCAGCTAAGTTGGGTCTCCAGTGCTCTGCCCTCCTGCCTTCTGAATCCTTCCCAGGATTTTTTTTTTTTTTGAAGGTCTTTTCTTTCTTATCCCCAAGAGCCCAGGAGTGGCAGAGAGAACTGAGTCATTATCACTGAAGCTCACCCCCAGGGGCAGGGGCAGGGGCAGCTTTAATGTTCCTTTGAGGCACCTGCGATGCTTGTGTTATACAAACGTCATCGTTCCTCTCTACTAAAAATGTCTCAGCTAGGAGGAAAGCCATACCATGAAGACGGTCTATCCTCAGGCGGGAATATACTCGCAGAGCTTTGTGAGAGATCCCTGGTAGAGCCTGGTGAGGACTGGGATGTCTGAGGAGAGATGTCGCCTCCCTCATCACCTTTGGGAACGCGAGGCCAGGTCTCTCTCTGTGGAATGGCTCCGAGGCCAAGGGCTCTGCAGCTGCAGGCATTATGGAAACTGGATCTCTGGCTCTTCAGTCAGGCTTCGGTTGTGGGTGCTCCGCAGATGAGATAGCTCAGTGGAAGACCAGCCTCTGTGTGTTAGCTTCCGTTCCTAGGGAGGTTTGTTCCAGGGAAGGCTCACCAGAAGAACTGGGGAGGAGCTCACCTACTCTCCTTTGGATAGAGTTTGGCCGCTTAATGCTTTTCAACTTCTGCTCGACCCTCACCTTTCACTATCTGGAGAAACAGCTATGGGTGTGTCTGGCTGTCGTGTGCGGCACAGAACTGTTTGGCCCGGCCACTTAATATGACGGTTCAAAGATGGGTGTGGCTTAAGGATCTACCTCTCATCATATTCTTTAGTCTTCACCCTACCACAGAAAGTCTCCCTTGACCGCTTCCTTAGGCCAGACTCTTTCCCATCAAGGGTCTGAAGTGCGCCCTCTAGAGAAGGACCAGGATGGAGGCAGCGCTCTGAGAGGCTGTTAACGGAGGATGCCCTGTGGGGTGATGGAAGCTGAAGACTGTAGTACCTACCAACTGTGGTCTCTCGGGACTCCCAGCTGCTTGTGAGAAGCATGTGCTATGAGCACTTATTGCCATGTTGGAGGTTGCCATTCGAAGAAAAAAACAATACTCAGAAAATAAAATGAAAAGGATTCCAATCCTACACTCCTCCTAGTGCAGTCACTGGGAAGGCTAGGGAGAGAGGCACCATAGGAGGGTAAATATGACCCAAGTCTCTGTCATTCCTGGACATTGGAACTGGGTCACCTCTAAGACCCTGCTAATCTCAAGAAAGGCCAATAACCAAACAGCTGGAGTCCTGGCGGCCAGGTTCCTGCAGGGGCTGATTCTGGGCTGCTGAGCTACAGAAGCAGATATAATTTCCCTCCAACATCGTAGGACTAATTGTATCCCAGGTTCCAGTTCAAATTCAAGATCCCCTTTGCTTTTCCTTTCTTAAAGCAGGCTTAGTGTGTAGCTTCCCTAAGTTGCTAGGCGGTACCGTTGTGTGTTTATAACCAGGCATCTGGCCCTTCCCCACGAACCTGAGCTATTCCTTATTGACTGAAAAAGAAATGCCTCATTGCATTGGAGGCTTCATCTTTGCCTTCTCTAATCGGGCCTAATAGGAAATGAAGGGTAATTAACATCTAATTCATTACCCATTGTACTGTAAACTAATCGGCAGCAGGTAGCTGAGGAGTAATAGAAAATGTATTAGTTGAGGCAGTGGGAAAGGTGTGATAAATAGGTTGTGCAGCAGGCAGACACTGGACAAAGGACAGGGACCTTAAGGTGTCCGCGTGGACTGGACAGACCTGTCCGGTTTAAGGCGGAGGGACACGCACACACAATGGAAACACACTAAGGTGTGTCTAGCCCAGGCTTCCTGGTCACCAGCTTCTGAAAGGATGCGATCCTCTCACACACTTCCACTCGACAAGCGCTCCAGCCGAGATAGCACTTTCCAGAGGGGGACGTCCAAGGACTCTGGGATGCAGCGGTTGCCTTCATCTCTTCTCCCTTCCTGCAGCTCTTGCATGCCTTCTGAAGCTAGCCCCTCAGCCCTGGCCATCCTCCTCAGCTCCCAATGCAACCTTATACTACTCGTCTTCCTTCATTCTCCTCATCAGTCTCTACTTCACCCTCTCACACAGCAACTGGGAGCCTCTCCTCCCAGAGTCTCCCAGACTCAACACTGTCACGCTGGGCAAGAGCAGTTACGTGGCCAACTGAAGTGAAGGTCCTTTAAAGAGCCAGGCGTGTGCCGCCAGCCACCAGACGCCCTGTGCCTGTGCTCCTGAACCTGGAAATCTATCACAGACCACAGAGCAGGGACCTGAAAGATACCCTGATCTCCTTTCTTCAGGGTTTTTAATTACATAAAACTACCTTGCTGATGCTTTCCAAGAGGTTGGCGAGCAGGGGTCTACGCAATTACTGGCGATTGAGCTTGAAGCCTCTCAAGAGCATCCGTGATGACGTCCCTTTGTGTGTGTCTCTCTCTGCGAACTGCAGCTAAGCTTCCCTCCCTGTTCTGATGGTGGGGTCTGGGCAGAGTGGATGCTACTGATGTAGGTGGTTATGACACCATTAAATGACAGACTAGACCCTTCAGACTGCAGCAACCTTCAAGGGAAAATGACTTGTGTTCGGAAATTGCCAGAATCTAACTCAGTTCAGACAGTGTTAAACTCAGCATTGCTCTTCAACTTCTTCAACTCCAATAGGGTAGAGATGGTTGCTCTAGGTTAGGGTGAAGGGCGTGTGTGTGTGCGCGCATGTGTTGGCGGAGGGGTCAAGTACCAAAGTACCAAAGCCTTCCTTTCACATTAGCTGAAATGAAAGCAACGGTATCTTCATGAACATTTAAACATTAGAACTCTTTAAACAACTTAACTCTGATTTAAGGATAAGGCAATTTTATGTACCAGAACCGAAATTCTCCAGGAAATAAAAAAAGTCAATCAAGGGTTGTTTTGAGTCTCTGTGATTGCAAATCTGACATCGTAACAGCCAATATCATACTGCACAGCTGAGTCGTCATTAAAGATAAGGTACTTTAATATACTTGGGCTACTACTGTTAGCCATCATGGTGATGCTGTGGTATAGGTTTTATGCCTGAGTCCTAGAATTTTCTTCCAAATTGGGAGGTTGTTATTTAGCATAGTTAGGAATGCTTGGGCTCATTCAACTGTCAATGAAACATTTTATAGAAAACCAACTCGGAAAATTTCTAAAGGATTGTTTCAGATGCTTAAGTTTAGAGACACAAAAGGGTCACCGTCCATGGGATTTTCCCTGATATCACAATCCAGTTGGCTCTGGCTCCATCACCACTGCTAGAGTTGACTTGCTTCATGACTCCCCATTCTGTTTCTCCAAAATGGAGTGTATCTAGGGGCAAGATCGGGGTGAGCAAGGCAGGGGACAGACACTGTGTACAATGGTGATGACCTCGTCTCTCCCTTCTGTCCTTTATCAGTCGAAGGGACAGGAGAGAAAAATACATGGACTGTTAGGGTTTTGTTGAGAAATCATTCAGGTTTTACAACAGTGACAGTGGCTTTTGAGGCTAGCACCAGGATTCTGTGGTCTTGGCGCTGACAGGAGCGCGAAGATACTTTTCAAGGAAAACACAATCCAGTTGGCCACACTTGACCTCAGAGCTGCCAAAAGTTCCCACTGTGAGTACCAAGACACAGCATGTCCTCGGTTGTTTTTTTTTTGATTGCATCTCTTATGAAAACAAACAGTAGCAACTCTCTTCATCCCATTAGTGAGGAATAAAAGGTAGTTATAGAATATAAAAAGTCAGGATGTGCTCCTTACCCAGGTATTCATGAGCTGTACCAAAAGAGGGACAATCACTTCTTGGCCTTTTGGCTAAGATCAAGTGTAGTTTCCAAAGGCAAGAACACACACACACACACACACACACACACACACACACACACACACTGAGAACCACAGAAAGACCAATGTCCTCACACTTTACCTACTAACGTTCTTATGGCAAAGAAACGGCACCATGCCTTTAATAAGCGATGTTGTTGTTGTTTCAGTGTTCTCTAGATCCAAAGGGACATGACTGCTAAATGACCCCAGTCTACCAGAGGGAACACTGTGATATGGAAAAGCAAAATACTTATAACAATCTTAGCTCAAGACCCCAAATAAATCATACCTTTCTGTGTGTGTAAGTGGGTCCACACACATACATTCACAGCTCTGGTTGTGAGCTGGAAGCATGAAGGCAAGGAGGGGGAGGCGAGATAGAAATGGGGAATGCAGGGGTTTTAGATCACATACTCAGGGCCGTGTCGGGAGTCTGAACCAAAGAGAGGATTGACACCCACCTTATTTGTTGCATCAATAAACTTGACTCCTTTATATGAGACTGAAAGAATAATAGTGGGGACTTTCTTCATTTGCTCTGTAGACTTCTGAAATTAAAATTAGAACGCTGTTAGAGCAGGGTGTGTTGCATGGCAACCGAAACGCATTGTTTTTTTTTTTCCTCTTGAAAGATAAAAATGAACTGAGGCTAAAACCACACACACACACACACACACACACCAAACACAATCAGATTTAAATGCCTGTCTCTCTTGCCATTAGCTATGCTTTAGGCTTATAAAGTATTTGTTGGCCTTGCTACTTCTTATGGGTCCAAGGGTGTCCTTCCCCCTCCCCCCAGCAGGAGGACAGTGAACTCGGTGTCTATTTCCTCAAGAAGAACGAAACCACGTCACATTTAACTCCAAAGGTGCATTCAGCGGCAACAGAATCTATACCATCACTGTTCTATCCTCCTAGTCCCTTCATTCTTCAAGGCATAGGGATGCTCAGATGTGGACTTAAAAGAGAGATTTAAAACGCATCCCTGCAAACTTGCTTTGATCCTGGCCAAATCCCAGAAGTGGATATAATATTTATAGCAGAGTCACACTGGACCACATAGGATTTCATACAGCTTGATGACAACTTAAGTCTTCCAGGAGGCGTCCTTAGCCACAGCGAAACCCTAGACGGGACAGGCGAGCTATTTTATCACACAGCTCGCCGTGTTCCCGCAGGCTAAGCTCTCATGACGGATGTTCACACCGGCTTCACATGTGGGGTCTGCAGCTTCTCCCGTTTATCCAGCTGCGCAAAGTTCCTGTGTAATTTAGCATGCGCCTTTCCTGCTTAGCCCTGCCATTTGTCTCTGTCACCGATAGTCTTGTTTACTTCATTTTCTTCCCTGCATCCTCTTAATCATCGCCTTACCCATCGGAGATGGACTTACCTGACAGTTGGCCTGCAGGATTTCCCGCACAGGACAGGTAGGTACAGAACAGGAGAGAAAACACATGAGAGGGTGTGAGAAGAAGGAACCATTTCAATAACCCGCCAATAGCAGAAGTTCACTAGGAAGTAAAGGCTGAGCAGGCCTCACAGCCGGAAGCAGAGGCAGCGAGGCTTTTCACGCTGACCCTGCCTCTGGTTCTCTTTCTCCGTTGTCTCATCTTTCTGTGTCCTGTGTTGCAGAGCCCTAGGACGGACATACCGGAAAGGTACACCGTGGGCCTTAGACAGCCAGCTCTCTACATTAGGGGACTCAGGAAAAGGATAGGAACTTTTTTTTTTGTTTGTTTATTTAGATCACTCAGTTGTCCATTAAAAAAAAATTCTGAAATGTGACCAGATTTAAAGAAGGCTTTTAACGGGATGAGTGGCGCTCACGGCGCTCAGTGGTGATTATGCGGTATGTATTTTTTGGCCACTGGAAGAGGTGCTTATTGTCCTGACACAACATTTTTTTTGAGAGCTACCATATCTGTTTCAGAGACGAAGAGATTTATTAAGAGTATGACAATACATAAAGAGAAGCTCTCTTGAACTGTATTTTAACTAGTTTTAAAATTACTTAGACATGCCAATTTTTTTTTAAATTACCAAAAAAAAAATCATCCTAAAAAGTGGAATATAACATTACATACTTTCGTGCTCTGAATGTTTTTCCTAACTGCTTCTGAACAATGTGCAGGACAAATCAAAGGCAAGGCCGGAAGAAATCATGAAATCAGATGCTTTGTGCTGGTTTTAAGGCAAAGCAGTGGCTGAATCTGTGACTAAGGCCGGGGCGGCACAGGCAGTCATTTCGTGGACTGAATTTCGTGTGAAGAACTCTACAGTTTGTAAAGCGTAACAATGGATTGCAGCAAACCACCTCGCTCATCTCTTGGCGTGAGTACTTTCTCCCGGACAGACCTATTTGTAACCTGAAACAATATATAGCTACATTAAGATGAAAATACCAATATTTTATTTAGTATTAAGAAAAACCCGTTTGTTATTTGCTCAACAGTTGCGTGGTTATTTTGGGGCCGCCCGCTGTGCTAGTCAATGCAAAGCTCGGGGTCCGTTTCTCAGGGGTGTGAAATTGTGTGTGAATGCTACTGCTCTCACTGGCCACCCAAGTTAGCTCTGTGTTGCGGAGAATCTAAGTGGGAAACAGGGCTGGGTAAGATGGCTTCCAGGGAGAAAAGGCATGGCAGCATTGGGAGCCCATCTTGGCTCACATAGCACGCATTCTTGGCTGAACTGGGCATAAAGCAGAGCCACTGGGCTGATGGCTAGCAACAACGGTGATGTGGACAGAGTCCTTCTGGAATAGTGACTAGGAAAACATTCACCTTCAATCAAAGGGCAAGGCGGGTATTAATAAATTTATTCATTTATCAAGCTTGATTTCCTGCTGGGGGCACTGAGCTGGCTCTGCCATCTGAGTGGCAAAAAGAGGAAGAGGGGGCTGTTCTCAGAACAGAGTCACATCCATGTATAAACGAGAGCTCTGTGGTGGTTTAGGTGTCGGTCGGGAAAGAAGGGTCGTAGAGTTGACTTGAAAAGGCAGGGCTTTCCCTGTCAAGAGCAGATTCACTGTTAAGCAGGTAGGGACTTTTTTGGCAGCTGTGCAGAAGATGGAGGCTGAATGAGGGACATGGGAAGCTGCTGTGAAATCCAAGGACTGATGTAGAAGTGTGGATTGCAGGGGAAGAGCCCCACCATGGAGGGCGAAGGATCAAGAGGCTCTCTGTGACATCACAGAAGAGGAGTGGGAGGCTGTCTCAGATGATGCAGCCGTTAGCAGAGATGGCACTGCCAGAGGGTAGACAGCATCCTTTTGCAAAGATGGACAGAGAGATGCTTTTGCATCCTCAGCACGCTAATCATCAAGAAATGAGAGACGGAACTCAGATTTCAGAGGGGTGGCTAAGATGGAAGCTGATGGGGTGTCTTAGGGTGGAGTAGGAACCTCAGCAGAAGATTAGTCCCACCCTCATTTTTTAGGACAGGGTTTCACTGTATAGTCCAGGTTGGCTTTGAACTAGTAATCCTCCTGCCTCAGCCTCCTGAATGCTGAGTGTACAGGTATGTGCTACCACATTCGGTGGGAAGATACTTTCTTTCTTTCTTTTTTTTTTTTTTTGAGATAGGTTTCATTATGAACCTCAGCTAGCCTGGAACTCACAGAGTTCACCTGCCTCTGCCCAGAGTGCTGGAACTAAAGGCTTGCAACACCATGCTGGGCCAAAGATGAGTTCTTAAGATCTGGCAAAGGAACTAGGAATGGCACAGGAAGATGAACACAGATGATGTCACAGAAACCAAGGAGCAGATTGGTTAGAAGGCACAAGCAGAGCACAATCTCCTAAGAATGAAGAAGACACAAAAAGCAGTCTCTGGTTGGGCCAGAGGATTGCTTTTGTTAGACTTATGGTGTAAAATCCCAGGCTTTAGTAACAGGAAAGACCTGTTAGCAATTTTATTAGTGGTAGTTTGAGGAGAACTTGGGCAGCGGGCTGACCTGAGGGTTAAACTGATTTCTATAAGCCTTCAGACTCCCCATCACGCTCATCCAAGATCCACACTACAGAGGAAAGACAAATGGCCCAACAGTTCCTGCCCCCATGCCAAGGCAGCTCTGGGGGGTTCAGTGTTGAGGTTGGGCACAAGTCTCTGTGGTGACAATGTTGGAAGTGGTCACATGTTCCAATATGGAGCCCAGACTGTCCTCTTCCTACTGAGTTCTTTAGCAAGAACATGCTGAACTGGGCTAGCCAAGACACCAAGCTCAAGGGGACCCTGGGAGGTCTGGAACATCACCTTTCTCCATCAAGGCATTGTGTTTTCTAGAAGAGCCAACAATCCTTCCTCTTTCTCGGGGAATTTCTGATGGTGTACTTTGATGGAGCTTTGAAAAGAAATATTTTATATATAATTTTAATGAAAGATGAGCACTTGTAAAAAGAAGGAAAATATACTCAGTCTTCAGGGAGGCAGGAAATCCAGTACATACGTGCTCATTTCATGAAAGCTTTACGGGTTCAGGGAAGGGAACGTAGAGCTTCTGCCCCGTCAGGGGTGGTCTAATGCAGTCTTGACTCCACTGGTTTGTTCCCCGAGGGGCCATTATGGTTCCCTTCTCCTCTTCCCCAGGTCTGAGGACACTTGACCTAATCATTCACTCCTCAAGTAACAAAGGCTGAGCTCAGGAGATCTGGGTTTTAGGATTTAGCTTTCTGCTTTGCTGAGTGTCTGTCTGTCTGTCTGTAGTCACGATGCCCCCATGTACACGTGGAAGATGCAAGGCTTGTTACTTTGCAGATAGAAAATTCCCCCATGAGGAGCTCAGGGCAAACCTTGGTTTCTTGTTGCTTTGCTCTATCCTAAGATCTTTGTGGCATTCCTGAGGTTTCCTGGCCCTCAGATTCTTTCTCCTTTGGTGCCAGCCTTACACCAGGGACACAGAATTGCAATGAGAGTCTCCTAACACCCAAGCAGCAGGATATTCATGGATAAGGCTCCAAATAAGCTTTATTGCATCTTACTTCCTGCGAAGACTGCTACGGGAAAATGCAACCATATTTTCTTTATGTTTTCCTAAGATGATGATTCTTTTTATTATCGCAAGAGAAGCAGTGTTTGGTTGCACAGCAATGCTGCATCTCTCCAATCTATTTGGTTCTTGGTCTAGACTGTCTGCATCAGCAAACAGAGCTGAATCATAATTTCATATCTGGAACACTGTTCCTAAGAAGTAATTGAACACTTTTAGATTTTTTTTTTAAAAAAAGAGAAAAAGAAATAATGTTCTTTCCTGTTTCCTGTTTGTGTGGGTGTGTATTCCTATATGTATGTGTGTTCCTGTGTATGTACACACACAGATGTCACATATAGACACATACATGTGCACATAGACCCATATATACACATATGTTTGTACACACATATAGAGGCCAGAGAATAATTCCACAGCTCTCATTTTTCTTCAGACAGGACCTATCACCGGCCTGGAACCCACGAACCAGTCTAGTCTACCTGGCTAGTGAACCCCAGGGGGATCCACCTGTCCCTTTCCTTTCTTCTCAGCACTGGGGTTGCAAACATGCCCCCCCCAGCCTTTTTTTAAAGATTTATTTTATGTGTACCTTTCTTTTGGGCCTGCATGAAGTATGTGTACCATATGCATGTCTCATTCCTGCAGAGGCCAGAAGAGGGTGTCAGATATCAAGAACTAGAGATACAAATGGTCATGAGCCTCCCTCCTTGTAAGCGCTGGGAACTGAACCCAAGTCCTCTGCAAGAACAGTCAGCATGACTGTCGAGCCTCCCCCCTCATCTCTCGTTTTAGTACATGCTCAGAACCCCAGGCATTCAATCTTTCAAGGCAAGTGCTCTACCAACTCACCTACCTCCCCAGTTTTGTCTTTTTTGATGTATGGAGGGTCTCAGACAGCCCAGTTGGCCTCAGTTATAGCTGAACATAACTTAGAGCTTTAGTTTATTCTGGTCAATCACCCACATGCAGGCATGTCAGGTGTGAACCACCATTCCAACTTCTTTTTGTTTTTAAATATAAAGTAAGAACTGTTTGGTGCCAGGTCAGAAGTTATCTCTGCTGCTTTGACTTCAGCCTTAAAGCGTGCTCTGAAAATAAGTAGAATTGTCCCTCAGCATGGTGCTTCAGGAGTTCCTACAGCCAGTAGCCTTTAAGTTACCTGTCTCTTATACTATATATGCTGATATAAAGCATGCATCTGGCCTCTCTTCCAGCTGTGGGATTTGGTTGCTGTTTCCCATTAGAGCAGAGGACTGTAATCTGTGAGCCTACCCCTAAATAAATAACCCTCTATTATACTCAATTCTGAGCTAGTGTGGGATTTCTCTTAAGTGTCTGTCTTCTTCTGGTGCCCACATGACCAACTGATATCCATTTAAAAACCTGAGAAAGCTTAAAAAGGAATTTTAGACACA